CAGCAAATATTCACAGAAGCCTTCTATGCAGCTCTGTGATGTGCTTTCTGCAAACTTAGCCTTCTATGCAGCTCTGTGATGTGCTTTCTGCAAACTCTGTTTGCCAGACTCCTCCAATGAAAGGTACAGGCAGAATGGAAGGAGGGGAGATTTGCTTATGGAAGACTAATTCTCTACATCTGGGCTTAGAGATCCCTGTCTTATGGCAAAAGAGGCCCTGCTGAGACTGCCCCAGCAGCAGGTGGGCTCTAGCCTTTTTCTATACTTAGCACAAGAGGCACTATGCCTCCTTCAGGTTTGAGCCTCAGCCATGTGGCACCTTGTCACTGCTCCTTGCACCAGCTACACACATCTTGTCCTCCAGGCTCCTACTGGGTTATGGTAATCTCACTTTTTCACACTCTTGTCAGTCCTAGAGTGGGAATGGATTCTTGCATACATTAATTTCTGGGTTACCTCGCTTGTCCAAGTTAGTACTTGTAGCCTTCTAATACCTATATAATCCTCTCTTTGAAATGCCTAGCTTAGTTATGTATCCTAACTGGGTGCTGACTCAATGACCCAAGTGGCAGCAGACCAAGGACTCCTTATTGCTAGTGTCTCTTGTGATCCTTAGTATTTGCTGATGGAAGGATAATAATCTACATCCGTGCTTAGAGATCCCTGTCTTACGGCAAGAGTTAGGCATCCTGCCCCAGGAAACAAAACCTTATCATGCTTATCCATGAGCTATGGTTTGAAGATTGTCATCCCAACATTCATATGTTGGGAACCTAAGACTCTATGTGATAGTATTAAGAGGTGGGGCCTTTAGGAGGTGATTAAGTCTTAAGGGGTCTGCCCTCATGTATGGGATTAGTACCCTTAATCCTCTATTAACAATATAAGGTTAATACCCTTATAATGATATAAGGGGACTAATATTTGTACCCTAAAATAACTAGCTAGGAGGTGATTAAGTCTTGAGGGGTCTGCCCTCACGAATGGGATTAGTACCCTTAATCTCCTATTAACAATATAAGGCTAATACCTTTATAATGACATAAGGGGACTAATATTAGTACCCTGAGGTAACTAGGCCTCCTGCCCTTCCATCTCTTCTGCCATGTGAAGACACACTGTTCATCTCTTTTTGCCACCTTCTACCACGTGAGGACGCAGCAAGCAAATACTAACTTGGAAACAGACAGCAGCCTTACTGAACACTATTGGACATCAGCTGGTACCTGGATGTTAGACCTCCCAGCCTCCAGAACTGTGAAAAATAAATCCTGTTCTTTATAAATTACCTAGTCTCAGGTATTTTGTTATAGCAGCACAAATAGACTAAGACACCTGTTTTAATGAGCTGTCAATTTCTGCTTCAGCAATTCTGAGATTCCATGATGCTAAGTTATAGTGGTTATGAAAGTCTCAGTTCAAAAGACTGGTAGATGTCAGGTTCTGAGATTCTGGGATGAGAAATGTGGGGTTTGAAAAAG